CCCGCGTCTCCTGCATCGGCAGGCGGACTCTCAAGCACTGCGCCACCAGGGAAGCCCCATCTTCTTATCTTCTTATCTCAGGTCCTCCCATCTGGACCACTGCAGAAGCCTCCTGGCTCGTCTCCTGCTTCATTTCCCCTCTGGCCGCTCTTCAGGGAAGCCTGGCTAACCTTTTGTAAGATCATCCAGAGCAAGTATCTCTTAAGCATCTCTGTTTAAAACTCTCATTGCCCTCCCTATGCTTAGAATAAAATCAGACTTCTTCCCTTGGCCCACAAGGCCTCAGGGAACTAGACCCTGCCTTCCTCTCCATCCTCATCCTGTACCACTCACCACACTCACAGTGCTGGACCATTCTTGCTGCCTTTCTGCTCCGTGGACACCCCAAGCTCATTCCTACTTCTGGACCTTTGCATTTACTGGCTCCTCTGCAGAGAACGTGTTTTCTTTGGCTCTTTGCATGATCGACTCCTTCTCATAGTGCAGATTCTCAGGTCAAATGCCATCTCCTTAGGGTCCTCCCCTGTCCATTCATTCCATAGTAGGTACCTCCCCTGCCCCAGTCACTGCCTTCTCACAAACCCAGTATTCCTACATAGCACTTGTCACTATCTGACATTGTTTCCTGAATCTGTTTGTTGATTCTCCATCTCCCTGCATCAGTCCTGTGAGATCAAGGGTGTAGTAAGTGGTGAGTAAATATTGGATGAGCTCATGGATATTGGTTGGACTGGAAGGCTATGGTTGAGTCTTCTTAATCCCTATTGTTCTGGTCTGAGTGGCCAGCTCTGCAAAGTCCAGCACATCCCCAAGATGGCCTGCTGCCTGGAATCTCTTTTCAGTCCAGACAAAGCCTCCTCGGGCGCAGGGGTTGGTCCCCAGCCGTGTCCCCCAACCCCAAGGACCACCCAGGCCCATCCTGGCTGCCCTCTCCCCATCCTCCAGTCTAGCGTCCTTTGCCCCATCTCTCCCAAACTCCTGGTTCTCCTTTGATCCTCGACCCTGAGTCCCCTGCCTTTCTCTCCTTGTGGAGTGACTGGAGCAGCGGGGGAAGGAACCAGCAGCTTATCCTGTTTACCCACCAGGGATTACCCTTAATGAGGATCCAGAGCCCCCGAGGCCTGTCTGCCACCACCTCCCTTAGTGCTGCTTGCCCTGTGTTCAGTGGGCAGATGCGGACAGCACTTCCCTGGAGACCACTTCTAGGCCTTCCCTGAGGACGGCTCTGCTTCAAATAGCTGAAACTTGTTTTCCGAATAAAACAGCGTCTTGTCAGCTCACTGGGGCTGTGTTACACAGGTGAAATTTCTCAGGAAAACAACCATGGCAAAACTGTTAGCTCGTATTTCTAAAGTTAGCTCCATCCTTGTCTAACCTCTTCTCTCAAACACAGTCATGTATCCTTTCTTAAGCATATCCTGAGCCTTCACGTCTCTGGGAGTGTGAGCGGTCACCTCCTGGGTGATCAGTGACCCGGTCACATGCTCATTGGATGGGGATACTCACATCATACTCACTCTCCAGTCCTTGCTTTCCTAGAGCTGGTTGGGTTTTTTTAAGGTTATAATTATGTCATCCCCACTGCTGCTAACTGTTCAGAACACTGCCTTATAAATGGCAGAAAGTGCAGAGAAAGGCAGTGCGACGCTTTTCTCCAAGCAGAATGTCTGTACCAGAACTCTCACGGGTACTGTTCACAGGGCACTCCTGGGCAGGTCCAGGAGGCAGCCTCCCCCATACACCTGGGAGCTTAAAATGCAGCCTGCGCGGTGAGCAGCAGCCTGAAATAATGATAGTTGGGGAAGTGACCCTTGGCCGTCAACAAGTTCAGTCTCTTTCAGCTGATGCTCGTAGCTGCCATTTGTGGAAGCTCACCCCATTGCAGGCTGTGCACCAGTCCTTTAATGCATCATCCCATTTGATCCTCACAACCCCAAAACAGGGGTGGAGTGATCCTAACTTGATAGGGAACCGAGGTGTACCCAGGTTCAGCCACTTGCCCCAGACTGCCCGGCTGGCCAGTGGCAGAGCTGCATCTGTGACTCAGCGACCAAAGGGTGATCCATCCTTGACCATCCAGCACCCCTGGTTCTCTTCCTGACCCCATCTCTGGCCACCTTCCCACTGATCCAGCCCCTCAGAGACTGTCACGTAAACAGAGACCCGTTCTGAGTATACCCGCTGGTCGGCATCTTAGGATCCTCACTCTGCCACTGAAATGTTACCTTCAGCTTTTTCAGTCTTGGAAATCAACGTTCCCCTTTTGTTCTGCAGTCAGTCATCTGTCACTGCACCCCTCCCTTCTGATTCTGCCACTCACCACATGCTGTCCAGAAGCAGTGACACTGGGATCTCCACGTGCCCAGTCGATGCCAGATGCACTTGGCGGGAGCACTGGTGTGACCCCCCCACCCCAAATGCCTGCTCTCCTGAGTGATGAGCACCGCCCACTAGTCCCACAGATGTCACAGAGCCAGCACGGGTCCCTCCTGTCAGCGCCCTCTGACGGCTTCTGTGTCACTCAGATGGAGAAAGCCAGAGTCCCCCGCATTGCCTTGCGCGCAAGGCCCCCGACCCGGCCCTGCTGCGTGGCCTCTTCGGCCTCAGCACCCACCCCACTGCCTTGCCTCACTCCAGCCACGCTGGCCTCCTTGCTGTTTCCAAAACATGCCAGGCATTCCTCAGATGGAGAAAGCCAGAGTCCCCCGCATTGCCTTGCGCGCAAGGCCCCCGACCCGGCCCTGCTGCGTGGCCTCTTCGGCCTCAGCACCCACCCCACTGCCTTGCCTCACTCCAGCCACGCTGGCCTCCTTGCTGGTTCCAAAACATGCCAGGGATTCCTGCCTTTGCTGCCCTTCCTTCTGCCAGATACGCTCTTTTCCAGCTGCTGTCCTTCGTGGCTTCTTCCCTTACCTCCTTCAGGTTCACGCTGAAATGTCACTCTCTGCAGAAGGCTTCCCTGGCAGCTGCTTAAAATAGCATTCCCTCCCGCCAGCTCCAAGCCAGGCAACCCTGCTTCGTTTCCTCCATAGCCTCCACACTAGACCGGAAGCTTCAGGGCGAGGAAATCGCAGGTCTGCTCACTGTTCTCTCCCCAGGACCTGCGTGCAGCAGGCATTCGGTCGATGTCTAGTGAATGACTGAACGCACGGATACACACATGTGCACAGGTGCACGCACACACACAAATGCACGTGCACTGCCTCATGACAAGGAGGCCCGGGACGCCGACGAGGCTGAGCCTCGTCGGGGAGGAGCAGATTTCAGGGTATCAGCTGTGGGGGTCCATCCCTGCTGGGTTCTGACCCCGTCTCTTCTCCGCAGATGGTATCACGGAGCCATCAGCAGAGGAGATGCGGAGAACCTGCTGCGACTCTGCAAGGAGTGTAGCTACCTTGTCCGGAACAGCCAGACCAGCAGGCACGACTACTCCCTCTCCCTGAAGTGAGTACACCTTGGCCACCTCCTGGGCCCTCGGCAGCCTCCAGCGATGCGTGGCCCGGCGCCAGTGTCTGGGGCAGAAAGACCCGCCAGTGTCCCCCAAGGAAACTTGCCAGCATGAGTTATTTCAAGCCTCGCTTTTCCAATTTGATCTTATTCTGGGATACAGAGGAGTTTTTATGTCCTCTGTTTCTGCCCCCCACAGAGAGGGGGGGCATTTTCCTAGAATTTATATTAAATATCCAAGAATAGCTTTCACATGTACGGTGAGCCAGGGGCTATAGAAGTGCATAGCATGCCTCATCCCTCTCTCAACCCTCACACAGCAGTTTGATGAGAAACATCTTGTCCCCATTTTGCAGATGAGGAAACTAAGGCTCAGAGAGGGGCCATGGCCGGCCAAGGGGCAGGGCCAGTACTCAAGGCCGGGTGTTTGACTCCCCACTGTTCCTGCTGCCGCCGTGAGAACCACCCTTTCCTTATGTTCTAGGTTGCTGTTTGGGAAAGTTTCACTTTTAGGTGTCACACAAAGGTTGTGAGGAACACTGGGAAGAGCCAGGAAGAATCTTGCTGGCGTTATTACCTGTCAGGTCTTTCTGGATACAAGGCCATTGCTTTCAGGATAGGTGGCCCTGCCATAAGAAAAGGGTTTTTTGATTGAGGGCTTCATCATTTAGTGCCCTTACTGACTGGATGGAACCCAACGGATTTTCTGAAACCCATTTTACAGACAGGAAAACTGAGGCCTGGAGAGAGGCGGGATATAAAGAATTAGTGACAGAACAGACCACCAGGAGCGGTGCAGCCCTCTGCCTGCTTCCTTTCTGCTCTACTCGCCATTGTTCAAGGCCATGTGATGGAGAGAGGGCCTGCTGGGATGCAGCTGTCAGGAGAGCCCTGTGCAGGCCGGGTTGTGTAGTCAGTAGGGTCAGTGCAGCCAAGGAGAGAGAGATTGGCCTGTGTTCTCTGCTCAGGACTGACCCCACCTGAGAGGGACAGTGACAAACTGCAGAGCAGAGCCTGAGCAGGAAGCAGAGGCACTGGAAGTTCGCCTGGAGAAGGGAGGGTGTGTGGAGACTTGGGGGAACCACAGATCTCTCAAGGACATCGGGGCAGAAGTGGTAGATGGGAGAGTTATGGGCAGGCAGATTCCAGGTCAGTGAGAGGTGCAGTTCTCTAACAGAGCCAATCAGGAATCAGAACGATCCAAAGCTGCCTCAGGAAGTAGTGAGTATCATCACTGGGGGTGTGCAACCAGGAGCTGGACAACCGCCTTGCCAGGGAGGACGTGGAGGGGATTTCTAAGCAGCTGGGAGGGCACTCAGGACAAACGGCACGTGCGTGCTTCATCGTCCACCATCAGGCCTGACAACTTAAAGAATCAGGCCAGTTATTGCAGCCCAGGAAAATTCAATACACTAAACCGTGGCTGGGCTGGAGGCGGCCAAAGCCAGAGGGCCACGGTGGGGTCAGGTGCACACCGCTGGCTGTGCTGTCTGGGGCCAGGGGGTCTTCAACTCCCCACTGCTCCATGCAGCCCCCTCCCTCCCTTACTGTTCGAGGTAACCTAGCAACCCAGGTGCCCGTGAATGATGCTTCCAGATCTTCACCTTCCCACCTCAAGGTGAATTGTGCCTTTCTGGACTGCAAGAGGTAAACGAAGCAAGTGACATCAGAGATGGGACTCCTGTGTCACCACCCTTCCCTGGTGACCCAGACAGCCTGCCCACGCCCTGGGCTTCCTCTCTCTCATCACACTGGCAATCTCTGAGTTCCTCAGTGGATCTCATTCTTCCTGGAATTTTGTCGTCTGGGACCAGGCCAGAGGCGTCTTCCCGAGAGGGCTAATTGAATACACAGAGAAAAGGGTGGGGCTCCCCATGTCAGGCCCAGTGGTTCACCATGAGGGCCAGGGCCCCATCGCACTTCTGTTTATTCACTGGGCGCCTGCTGGGCCCCTGCACTGGGCAGGCCTGGCTGGACATTGGGACCCCTGGTGACCCCACCACAGCCCTGTCTGCAAGGAAGAAACAGCCTCCGAAGTTCCCAGGATGTTTTGGGGCTGAGGCGCCAGCATGGGAGCACACAAGGAATCTCGAGCCAGTGGCAGGAGTACTCATGCCAGCAGTGCCTGCGTGGTCCATTCCTCAGTGCCCTGAGCCCATGCCCTCCGTTATACAAACAGGCCCGAATGCCAGCTCACAGATGGGTCTTCAGAAGACTGTTTCTGTCAAAGTCCTAAGAGCATAATTCCCTTTTCGTTCCTGGTTTGCTCCCTTCCCTAGACTGTAGGACCACTCTCGGGATGGAGAGCACCTTGATTCTCTTCTGCTCTGTAACAGGCTTATAGTCCAGGGGCCGGGCTTCCCCACTTGCTGGCCTTGTGGCCTTGGCAGCCACATCACCTTTCTGAGCCTCAGTGTCCTCATCTGTGCATGAGAGGTGACACTGCTCTCCTTACATCGATGCTTTTCAGTGTCTCTGGCTCTCGGGAGTTCCCCTGCCCGTGGGCTCAGCCACCCATTGTCCTTGGAGTGCTGTGGCAGGATCCCCTGCATCTCCCAGGCGAGGGGAGGAGGTGGAGGAGACTGAGGGTGCAGCCCAGGGGCCTGCGCTGGGATCCCAGATCAGAGCACTCTGCCGTCAGGCCCAGGTTTCTCTTCCTGGACCCGTCCTGTCAGTTCTCATTGTCAGGAAGTGCAATTTGGATGACTGATCTCTGCCCATGGGTGCTGGAGGTGGAGGGTTTAGTTTTGCATGCTTGTCAGGAGCCATTAGCTCCCAAATGCCGGAGGGGTGGTCTTACCTGGTCGGCTTTCTCTTGAAGAAGGCCAGAAGTGGGGAGGAGGGCTAGGCCATCCGTGGCTGGCCGGGGCAGCCCGCTAAGTGGAGGTGGGCTTGTTTTCCAGAGCAGCCTCAGTTCCCAGTGACCAGTCAGGCTGCCGGCCAGGGAGTGACACCCGGCATTCATCACCTCAACCACAAATGGAACTGCCCTGGTACTGAATGTCCCGGCTGCTTGGGGCAAGTGCCAGCTTTGCCAGCCACCATGGAGGTCCAGGGACTCTCACATCCCGAAGCCTGCCTGGTGGGGGTAGGGTGGGGAGTGGCATTATCAGGAGTGAGGTGCAAATTTACATTGGAATTCCAGCTGTGCTGTCATGTGAGCCTTGGGTCATGCTATGAGGGTATTCTAGGGTGGAGGAAAGTGTTTGGGGGAGTCTGGCCCCAGAGGACAGGGCCCTCCACCCCTCCCGTCCTTCCCTCAGCACATATTTATCAGAGCCCTTGGTACCAGGCACTAGGCTGGGCAGCAGAGGGAGCAGAGGAGAGGACAGCCCGGCCTAGGCTACAGAGCTCCCGATCTGGGCCTTGTTGCTTGCATGTCTGCACAGAGGCCCTTGGGGGCCGGAGCTGGCGCTGGAGTGAGAGAGTCTGGAGAAGCTGTTGCGCAGAGGTACACTTGAGCCTTAAAGAAAGGGTACGCATTCCCCAGGCAGGGACAGTTGGTGGGCATCTCAGGTGGAGGGGACGGGCTAGGCAAAGCCCTGGAGATGCAGAAGAGCCTGGGCAGGACTCGTGCCCTGCAGAGGAGCTGAGACTCAGTCCTTAGTGACGGGGCCACTCTCAGGCACCCGCCTGTATGCTTAAACCCCACTTCCACCCTGCAAACCCACAGCACTTCACGATTTAGAAAGCCTGCGCGTTCGCCTCGGGACAGCCCCACGGGGTGGCCAGGGCAGAGATCACCATCCTCGTTCTCACCTTAGGGTAGAGGAAGCTGACCGACCAGCTGAGGCTGGAGTGGAGACAGAGGACTCCCAGCCCAGTGTCTCCCCACCCGCTCCCAAGCACCCCTTACGCCGGCCAGGTCATCGGTGTGGAACCTGAAGCGGCCGTAGAGGCCTGCCTGGTCCGGTCCCTTTGCTTCATGGCTGGGGAGACTGAGACCCAGAGGGGATTTGTGACTGACCAGCTCCCCAGCTGGCAGTTGACCACACTGACAAGAGAGATGGTGACTGCTTCCCACTGTGGGGACCAGGCAGATCCCTGCACCAGCCTAAGCTGCCACCCTCCTGCCCCTTCACCAAAACCCCCCGCACCCGTGGCAATCCAAGATGGCGCCTGCCTCCCTCACCTCCTCGCATCCATCCAAGTCCCCTCCATGGCGGACGCCCCCACCCGTGAAGCAGTCTTGCAGAGGTCCTGCCTCATTGCTTTTGAACACTGCCCTCATCCCCTCCTTCTGCAGAACTCTCCCTCTTCCCCTCTCCAGCCTGACCTGACAGGGCGTCAGACCCTTGGTGCCCTCTCAGCCATCAGCACACACGTTGGCCCCAGCACCAACCATTGACCCCTGCTACACTCACTGTAGCCTCGGGAAGTGAAAGGTTGAACTTTTAGAAGTTGGCAAGAAAACATCACCCTCTAACACAGTTTACTGTTTGGAAAGGCAAGCAGTGGGGGAAAGGGATGAAAAATCTCATTAAAAGGGTTCTTCAGGCACTTTGGACTGTGAATGACTCTTTGCAATTTCTAGTTTCATGAGTTTTTGCAAAGCAATCTGGACAAGATGAGGGAAACAGGACTCCAAAGACCAGAGGGTTTGCTGCTGAGGGCCCTCTGGGGAGGCAGGGAGAACGCCAGGGCCTCCTCGTGCACCAGGCAGGCTCTGCCTGCTCTGGGCGTGCCCCCTGGGATGGGGGCAGACAGAGTGGCCCTCCCGAGGCCTCAGCAGGGATGCCCCTGCTCCTTTGACAAGGGCCCAGCCCTGTTCTCTTTAAGCACTGAGAGCCCCAACTCCAGTGGGGGACATGGCCCCAGGGAGCCCTCACAAAGGGGCCTTCAGCTTTCAGATCCCCAAAGGCAAACTTCACAGCATCCTTGCAAATGCGTAGCCCAGATTCTGACCTCAGGAGACATTTCTGGGGTCTGACCTTTTTCCATCAGGGTACAACTCAGCCCTGATCACTCAGGAGCCTTCCTCAGCCCGTAAGCTCTGC